AGAAATTTCTTCCATCAAATTAATTGAATGATTTTAGATAATATTAAAATTTTCGCCAAATATCTCGATTATTTTGTCTTACATCATCCATTCAATAAAATTACAATTAATTAATTTAAAAATTTTGTTTTCACAAAACTTGCAAATTTTTTACAAAACGTATGTAAAAAAATTATAAGTTTAAAAGTTTCTATTACTATAAAAATTGGTAAATTTCAATGTTTCAATTTCGAATTTCAAATTTCAACTTTCAACTTCGAATTTCAAATTTCAACTTTCAACTTCGAGTTTCAAATTTCAACTTTCAACTTCGAATTCAAATTTCGATGACATGTTCAGCCAAGTTTTATGCAAAACTGCTCGACCATTTAGGTAACTACGTCATTGTACGTGAAGACAATTACGTGAGGTTAAACGTGACAAGCTTGTAATATAGACTATCAGTGAATCCAACTGCATTATTCTTGGCTTAGCTTATTGTTTTTTTTCAGACTGAAGCAATAACTTTTTGAATTGTTTGAAACTTCTAGAAGCATATAAAGCCATAGCATATAATACCGCCTTACCGGTAATTATTTGTGCCACAATTTGAGAATGACAAAATTTTGATGACTAATTTGGTTTATGACTAATTAATTTAATATCATGAGAATAAAACAGGATAGCAATTTAAATTCAAAATAAGAAAAACCAAAACACTATTGCATACATATATAACTTACCATTGAAAGATCAATTATACCAAGAAAATGGTATTTCAATTCCTAATAATAATTATAAATTGAGAAACAATTTAGGAATAGAAATTGATAATAATTAAAAATCAAAGAAAATTTGAAAAATAATACTTCAAAATACTTCGAAGTGAAAATGAATCGGAAAGATTTATATAATGTTTCATTCAAATTTGTAATTGAGATAAATCGGATATACAGCACTCCGGATTTAAATGAACAGAAAAATTCAGAATAATTTCGAAAATAATGAAATTTGAAATTGAAATGAATTTCAAAGAATAACAATTTACAATTATTGAAACCTACGAAGATAGTGAAAGGGATATTCCAGATTTAAATAATCAGTAAGATTAATTATTCTTGGTAGCTGTCAAGGTAGCTATCTCGTTAGTTTTTCTTGGTAGCTGTCTTAATTGTCGGAAATTGAAAAATAAAAACTAAAAAGATTCCGCATTGTAAACAATTGAATCAAAGTTAGCGCTAATCTGATAATTAGATTAAGTTTTTAATCGAATTGAATTGAATTGAATTAAATTGGATACTGAATTTGGGAGAGTGTTAATTAAATAATTGTTAAATGCTAATCCTTCCCTGACAAGTAACCCATTAAATTTGGGTGATGGAAATAGTGTAACTTTTCCATATTTAAATGCTTAAATATAGATAAATAGATTCTTTTTATCTAAGAAACAAAAAAAAACTTTTACCAATAAATATTTATAGTTAAATATTTAAATTTGAAATTTATAATTGTTGCCACCGAAAAACGAATTAACCGATAGGGACCGCCCCTTTTTTTCAATAATTATTTCATATCTCGTTGTCTTGTTTTCTGGATTAATTGTGTTTCCCTGATATCTTTCCGGTTTTCTGGTAAGGTTTTCCGATTTGATGTGAATTATTCTTCGAAGCGGCTAGCAGAGAAGCACCTTTTAGTTTGCGATATATTTTTAGTTTACGATTTGTGTTAAATTTCCTTTCCACTTTTATTCCTTTTTCTTGATAGTTACTATCAAATTACTTGTTTGATAATTCAATTAAAATGTTCTGCATAATAATTTATCTTTTCAAGTAAAAGTTTTTTGAGATTTCACTTGAAATGAATATTCCAAGTAACTTAATTATTATTAATGTGTATGGCTTGAGTGTAATACTAAAATGGAAAGCGTTGTTATTAAAATTAGTAATGTAAATGTTAAAATAAATCATCAAAATTTTAATTAGCAAATAGAAATGTTAGATAAATCGTTGAAGTCTTAATTAGCAAGTTCAAATGTTAAAGTAAATTATCAAAACTTTCAATGTAAATAAGTTTCCACTATATATGAAACTCAAATATTGCTCTTAGGAAAAAAATGTATTCCTTATCCATATAGATAGTTTTTGCCTTTTTGTACATTTGTTCATTTATTATAATGCTTAACTTACAGTTGTTTAGGTCACTTCTCTTACCATTACATTATCCAATTTCTTACATGTTACATTACTTATGTGATATCAGTGTGTTGTTAGAGTTTCCAGTATTTTTTTTATCCTTGAAATGTTATTATCGTAAGTTAACACACCAAGTAGGACGGAGCATATTTACCATGGTTGAATGAAATGCCGATATCATGCGGTTAAAAGGTATATCAAACTATCACGTTAATCCTGAACAATAATTTTATTACACTCAATGTGATAAGGAATTCAATCATCTCCTTAATTTTGCAGATTTTGATCCGTTGATGATAACGAAATTCCAATGGATAATTATCAATTTAGCAATGATATCATGTGTCTTTATTTATATCAATTTACGCTTAAGGCCTTTATGTCTAACAAATCTCAGTCAGCAACGAAAGGATGATGCAGAGGATAGAAAGCATGAAAAACTATCATATACATCATCAATAGTGATTTATAATCGAGTAACATTTACTAAAACATAAATCAATTAAAACATGTTTGGAGCTTTAAATATTTGAAATTTCTATACTAAAATAAATTTAATTTAAGCAGTCAAAAGTACTCAATATACAAAGGAAAATATAGATGACGAAAATTAGAAGTAAAGATGAAAATAAAAAGTAAGGATGTAAGAAAAAATTAAAAAATGTAAATTTTGTGCTCGAAATTTAGTTGTATAAGGGAAAATGTTTCAATTAATAAACTTAATAGCTTAGGTAAAGAAACAATTGGTTATGGGTAAATTTTTCGCGCGAAATCTAGTTGTATGGAAACTGTTTTAATTATTGAAATTAATAGTTTGGATAGTTATTCATTTGATGTTATGAATTAATAAAATTAGAGCATGCTTTATAGATCCCAAAAACTGGTTCAACAACGCTTACCAATGCTGTAATGTATAATTTATGTTATCGTAATGGCTTCAGTGTGATTCATTTGAATTTAACAAGAAATCGTTATCTGATGAATATCGTCGATCAACGGCGATTTATCGATAATATCACGAATTGGAAGGAGCGAATGCCTGCTATTTATCATGGTCATGTTGCCTTCATTAATTTCAATCGGTATATTTTTTGATTTTTCATTGATTATAGAGAAAGTAAGAACCAGTTATATTTATCTTTGGCTGCTCAATCTTTGTGAAAGATGATTCCCACCGATTTTTGATGATATATGTGGTGCTGTCAACAATTTCCGAGAACTACTTAGTAAATAGTGTTAGTACATGATTCATTATACTATGTTATATTTAACTGCCTTAATATCGAAATACTCTGTCAATTTTGTTGATATATCTTTAACAGGGACAACATCCACTTATAAATTTTGTATAAAATTATGTAAATTTCCTAATTCTATGTTTGATCAGATTTATCAAATATACTGTTTGAAATGTCTATAAGTACAAGGAGCATATTTCAGGTTTGGTCTTCCAAATCCGGTGTATATAAATTTAATACGTGAACCTCTCGAACGGTTGATATCTTATTATTATTTTCTTCGTTATGGTGATAATTATCGTACTGGGTTAAAAAGAAGTCGAGCAGGGAACAACGAGGTTAATCTAATTAATTTTCTTGTTCTATATTTCTATTTTTACATTCATAGCTTGAATTTTATGTAATACAAGAACCTTCATCATCCTTAATCAGTAGGTGAAATGAAATGAACAGACGACTAGACATCATAAACATCTTTTTTGTATTTTGAATCATATTCATTTGTTGTTTCTGCAACCATTTAAGCTATCAAATTTTGAGCTATCGAAAAAAACAGATGATGTTGAAGAAATTCCCTTTTAGTAATTTAAATAAATCCAGCAAAATTTTTGAAGTATTGAATGTACTACATTTTAAATAAATTCAACTGAATTTCAACTAAAATCAACTCAGTTCATCTTTTTGGACATGAATGATTTCTACCTTCAAGAAAGAGAAATAACACTAACTGCCTTATTTCATTAAAAACACTCATTAACTGAACTACAGACGTTTTGACAAAGAGGTTATGAGACTTTTCAGACATTTGATCAATGTATTGTGCGAAAAGGACGGGATTGCGATATGAAGCAAATGTGGCTGCAAATTCCGTATTTTTGTGGTACGCACCATTTCTGCAGGTAGATCGGAGATTTCGCATGTGAATGGTTTTTTTTTTAATTTTCCACTTTTCACTTTTGGTTTGAAATTTTCTGGAGATTCCCTTCAGTTTTGTTGAAATATTGAGTTATATTAAATCGCTTACTTAATTTATTTCTCATCCTTTTTCTCAAATAATTCTGCAGATCTTTCTAGAGAGATGTCTACTTTTTATTCCACATCTTCACCATACAGAGTTTGCTCTATTACAAGGTAAAATTATTTCGTAATTTTCATCATTATTACTGAAAAATATTGTTGTAGTGAAGTGGGAAATAACCGTGCATTAGAACAAGCTAAGACCAATCTCATAAACTATTATTTATTGGTTGGTTTGAGTGATAAAATGCGAGATTTTATCGAATTGTTGGAGTTATTGTTGCCAACATTCTTTCGTGGAGCATTGAAGAATTTCGACTCACTTGATGGTTAGTATTGCTTTCTCTGTGTTTTTTATAAGGTTAGAAGTGGAGGATTGGATTCGGGGGCGTTGTAAGGAATTTTAAAGTTATTAGACTACAGACACATGGATTAATGAAAATTACTTGAGGTTTTTCGAACTTTAATATTCCTATGGTCTAGAGCTGCTGAAATGATCAATAAATAGTCTGTATAACTTCCACTTTTCTTCATGCTGTTTCGCTACTCACATGAATGCGAAAATATGTATAGAGAATATTCGAAATCATGCTAACGAGTAATGGCATGAGATTTTCATTCATTAAAAATTAAATTTTGATTCGTCGACGTATGGAATTTAAATGTATTTCCCTTCGTTTTCTTGTCAATATTTTAATAGTAGAGAAAACTATAAGATTTTACTTTTCCAGAAAAACACGCAAATTTGCGCCATACAAACCGAAAAATACCACCCAGTAAAGCAACAGTTGAAGCGATTCGTAAGGAACGGGTATATATTATGGAGCGCGAATTTTACGATTTCGCTCAAAAACAGTTCAGTGAAATGAGACGGAGAATACTAGATGGAACAGCAAATGAATTGCTTCCACCACAATTTCATTATGAGAAAATTAAACCGATATAAAGCGATGGTGATGATTAGTTCAATTAAAAGATTACGATAGTTTGTAGATCGTAATCTATAGCGTTCAGCTTTGTCTCAAGTTCAACCAAAACCTAGAGAAAGCAATGATATCGAAATCGACGTGTTTCAAGTATGGACACATCTGTTGCTTTTACAAATAGTGTTGTGATTGAAGGTGTTAGAGTTGTGCAACAGATTGTAAATTATGAAATATTCTTCAGTTATGCATGGTGTTAAAAAAGTGAGAATATTATGTGAGATCAGTTTATATGCAACGATTACTCTCCAATTTTGCATATCTCGGACATGTTATAGGTAGATTTTTTTATTAAATGATTGATCTGCACTATAATCTATCATACAATTAACTTTCCTTTGCTCATTGCTATTACACTATTAAGAAGTAGGATTGTGCATAATATTATTTCAGCAAAAACTGTATGCTTTGCAATGATGAAAGCCTTTCTGCTAAAACTCCATGATACGAATCATTGAAAAATCGACTCTATCATATCAGAAAGTGCATTCCCAACAGTGCCTACTTTTCTTCTAGTATTGTTGACAGTTGCACCGCTATTTCGAACTTCGAGGTCAATCTTAATGTTATGTTACATTTCATTAGTACACGCACTTTCTTTATATGGTGTATATTAACATTATCCGAGCTGTCTTTTAAATGAGAATAAAATTTCCAGTTGAAAGCTAGTAGCTTCAACATTTATTTAATAAACCATTTAGAAGATGGTATGAGTTGCTTGAAACTTTCCGAAGTCAGAGTGATAATTCCTCAGACAAAGTTGATTTCGCTTTGCTGTAGTAGGCAAAAAGAGAAGTTTTCTTCAGTTTGTAAAAGAAATAGTACATAGCATTTTATGCAACATAATTATCAACAACGATGAGATGAATTTTTTCAGCACTTCTGAGTTAGATTTACTAGTTATTTAATGTCTCAGCAAAAAGTAGTTGGATATTAGTAAGCGGAAATCCAGGTTTGAATGTTACGTGAACGTTAAGTTGACCACAGTGATAATAGCAACAAAAAAGTTAATCCTATTGTCTAGAACGATAAGCATAACTGGGAAGAGAATCAACTCTTAGTATTATGGCATATCTAGAGAAATGATTTTCTTTTTTGAAGATTCACAAATCAAATTGCTGCAGCAGAATTTTTGTTAGTAAAAACGATGAAAAACTTGGTAGTCATCTCCTGGAAGAAACAATAAAATAATCGACACCGTACTCTTTAAAGTCATCTCAAATACTTCACAAATAGGTTGACCTTCTAAGTTTGCAATCCATTCATCTATTTCTAATTTTCATTCCCATTTTCATTATGATCGAAAGATGTAAGGTCTATTTTTGCCCAAACATGGACAACATGACATGGACATATGAATACGTTTTAGTCCGATGGAAATAAAGAAAATGTGGAATATAAATTGTTCGATGTTATGTTCTAGATAAAGTCAATTATGTTAGAGCTAAGAAAGTCGAAAATGAAATAAACTCAACTAAGTAATTTCACTTTTCTGGACAACGTATTCAGCAGCAAATGATAGCATACCCGTTTATGAAATGAGCAAAGAAAAGAGAAACAAAAAAATGGAGCAAGTTACAGGGACAAGTTCGCCGGATGCTTCACTGAAATCTGCAGGCGGACATTCATTGCTGCAAGTTCAGCAACCAAATAACGAAACACCCGAGGCACTTCAACCGGACAAACTTCATCATCCTTGCCACATAACAAACACATTTCACGTTCACTGTAGTTTAAAACTGAATTCTGAAAAATTCTCGATTTTCAAAAATGATCACAACTAAACTGAAGCAGTCAAACCAAAGCGAATATTAATCTCATCGCCGTGGTTGATCGATGATCGGGTGTATCAAGCATGGTAATACCTGTACAAAGTGATCTGATTTTTGAAAAAATCATGATTCTAAGCTATTCATGACAGAAATATTTGCTAGAATAACGGATTAAGTGGCATAATCCTAAGTCCAAAGAAAAATTATGATAATGCATTTAGCAGTACACTTTTGGTAATCGTCCCAGATTCATTCAAGAGTATGCAATCACCCATCTATCTTTGGTGCCCACTTCCGGTATGATCGAACAGATGTGTAAATTCCGGTGTAATCAAATAGATGTGTAAATCGATTTGGACTTGGTAGATTAAAAATTTTGATTCAATTGTGAATTATTTGATTTTTAAACTAAACAAATAAACTCCTTATGAATGCTTCCGATCAACATTTCTAGAATATTTGGTAATCATATTCCGATCATGACTAAATAATACTTTTTCTCAATAAAAACAGTGTTATTTTAATGAAAACAGAGAGAGATATATTACAAATTTACTTCGCTATTTCGATGCTCTGGTAGCATCTTTGAACATCGAAGCGTCGATATCATTGAACCGCAACGCGCACAAATATGCGCAATATCTCGGTCGGAACAATTAAAAAGACGATCCTGAAATTAGTACTCAAAGTTTGAAGCTTACTGCTGTAAAAAATCATAGGACTAAAAAATTTCTTTAGAATTTCTTTAAACTAAATGAAGTCATAAAAAAACAAGAAAAAAAAGCGAAAAAAAAAACGAAGTCATCGAAGTCCTCCAGGAATTTTAATGCTAATTTAGCTACCTGCAAAGTGAACGCAGCTCCATGAGCGATCATTGCATCACGTTCCATTTCACCAAACCGAATTCCACCACCTTTCTTACGACCTTTCACTGGCTGTAACGTCACCGGATCTGTTGGGCCGGTTGATCGTACTTGGAATTTATCCGCAATCATATGTCTCAGGCGCTGATAATATACAATTCCGAAAAAAATTTGAACCTAAAAATTCTTATTTGATTTTGAAATCAATTAAAAGCATTGGACAAGAAAATATTTTGTTCAGTTTCAAAACCCTTGAAAAATATATTCGAAATCAGGCAAATCCACCGCCTTCTAAATGATTCAGGCATACATGCAAATCCAAGAATATGGCATTGGCTGATAACGAACACCAAATGATATTATGAAAAAGTTTAATAGTATACCGAAGGAAAAAAATGAAATCCGTAATTAGAAAATGGCGGAGTTTTCGGTGAGAGATGGAGTTGTGAGGAACGAAATATACAATAAAGCTTAAAGAATGAGGAGGTTTACAGCCACTGCAAATACTGAGATACAAAAAGTTGTTTAAACATTAAAGAAATGAAAGTCAAAATGATTTTCAAATAATTGTCATGCGCTGGTAAAGAAATTATTAACAACTTGCCTCCATTTCCCGGCCATCCACACCAGAATACATCGTTTCATTTCCATAATAGTTATATCCTGCACGAACAAGAAGTTGTCCAAAGTGATCAATGGCTGTTTTCTTCTCACTTAAACAAACAACTACTATCAAACAATACCAGCAAGATCGGTGCAGCTCCCACTTTTGTCTCTCGTTTTTTTTCCTTATTTTTTCGATCTATTATCTTTAGCCAAGACGCGCCCTATTCCTTCGTTAAATCATTCATTAATTTATGAAAATAAAGTTGCAATTTTCTATTTTATAAAATCCGATCAAAAAAATTATACTTGAAAACAAATGGTGAAGAGTCATATGTAGAACCATGCATAGCTCCTGCTTTACCAGCCATACTTTCAATCATCATCCCTAGAAAACAGTTTTTTGAAATCTATGAATGGAAACATTTACAACGGCGTTTCCGTTCACAATCTACTGAACTACTGAAACGAAAAGGAATATCATTCAGAGCCAAGTGTTCCTCTAATAAAATATAAAACTCTCATTAGTCACGGTACTTAAAAGCATTTAGATTAAATTTCAGACTGGAAAGTATTATTAATCATTTTTTAAAAAGCTAACATAATGGAAATCCGGAAAATGTTATCAATTTAAGATTAATTTAATTATTGATAAAAAGTTGTATAAAGTAAAAACATGCCAATTGTCATTCGAGATGGAAAACCATGCGGATTAAAAATAATATCAGGAACCATTCCTGACTCCGAAAATGGCATCGATTCAGTAGGCCATAAGAAAGAATTGATACCTTTCTGACCATGTCGTGATGCAAATTTGTCACCAATTATCGGATTACGTCGTGTACGCCACTGAATCAATGCATGCTGAAAAAACACAAATACACTGAATATTCGAATATAAGTAAAAAAAGTTAAATCACGGATTAAACTGATACTTTGCTATAAGCATTTGCAATCGACCTTCCCGGATAAGTTTGCAAATCCCATTATGAGCCATTTCGCTGAATGCATTCACCAATTACACTGCATAATAATTTGTAAGGGAAAATATAACTGATTCCAAATCTTACACATTTGCCCTTGTTTGCTCCGACGTTCTCCCCCTCTTCGACAATCCTTACCGATCCACAGAATGCTGCTTCTGCGTATTTGTATTTATGGATTTTATAACTGTTTGTATCAATGTCGTACACCGAATAATACGGATCACCTTCCATATATAAACGCCCAGGAATCGGTAAACCATCAAGATCTATCGTCTTTTGAGGATTTTCAGGATCACACAAAAATATTGGGCACTCTGCGGATCGTCCTTCTGTCAGATTCACCCTAACATGTTTACAGGTTACAATTCATAGGTTATGGATTAATTTGAGCTGCCATAGTTCACATCATAAACTATTATAAGCAAATCTTCTAAAATAAGAGAAATTATGCACATATAAAAGCTAGTCTCAAGTAAAGCTAAAATTTAGAAGGAAGATGAATCTCATTTACATTATCACATCAAATCAGGTGGGCATACCATTGCCATAGCTGTTACAATGGCTGCTTCAGAGTATAACAACAGATCCACTAATTTCTAGCGATCTCAATTAACTTCACTATTTGCAAAATGATTGTCGAAGTCATGAAGACAACATAATATGCCAGAAATTACAAGAAATCGAAGTACCTTTCTACTTTAATAACACTCCCATGAGCAAAACCACGTTCATATGAGCTCTTATTAATTACCATAGCATCCTCCATATCATAACCTGGAAAATAAGTGCAGCTGGTAACAAGATAATTCTGTATTTTCGAACTGCATGATCATTAGTTTCAAAACTAAAATTACCTGTGTATGATATGACTGCAACACATGCATTCGTTCCCAGCGGATACTCATCAATACCATATTTCTCATATGGTTCTGGTTTTACGATAGGATTTTGAGGGAACTAAAAAAAATGAACCGTTTTTTTAAACGGAATTTCAAATCTTCTATAAAAATAAGACAACAGTTACTCAAGCAGAACTTTTCACCGGTATGACTACCGTGACCTTTTGAATTATAGAGAGAAAGTCACAGTTTTTAAATGTAACTACTTAAAGTTCACATTTTTTCCAAAAATGCTGATCTTTTTTTCGTCGCATTAACATCACTGTAACGTCAAGATATTTACATAATTCAGCAAGCACTTGGGTTTCTCCAAAGATGGTATAATTTCATCCAGATTGTTTTACTATTCATTAAAACATTACCTGAAGACGATACATTTTATTGTCGGCTCGATAGTTCCATGCATGAACAGGTGTTCCCATTGTTTGTTTACCCATTTGACATTGATAAACATTCCTTGGCGACTGATTATGATCAGGAAATGGTATTAGGTTAGCAGCAAAACTAAATAAACAGCTGGGATGAATTTCTTGATGCATCGTTACATTGGGCTCTGCCTCCTCCGGGTCGATACAAATTGATAAGTACACTTGCTCGAATGTTCCTGAAATTTGATTGATAAGACTGAATTAATAAGACTGAAATTTGATTAATAAGAATTAATAAGAGTAAAAAGAGATTGATAAGGCTGATTAATACTTGAGACAACAGGTAATTTGCTCTGCCTTTTTAATCTAAGATATATATTTCACTAATCTTGCTATATCTTACAACTTCTCAAATCCCCTTCAAACTGATGCAAATGAATGGCAAAGATTCTGTTTCATTTTTAACCTTCCAAATGCAAATGAATGGTAAAGATTCTGTTTCATTTTTTACCTTCCAACCAAAACGACTGACTTTTGGGTTGTGAGTCTAAACTCGAAATTGATAAAATACAAACTTATTCATAGAATAAATTGAAAATTCTAGATCACAGTTTTTTAAACAACGAGATGAAACAGTTCAAAAAATATTTTTAAAAGATTTTACCTATGAATTCAACTCGATCTGATGGAAGATATTTGACGGGTCGCATGAGATGTCCAGGCTCAGTAAATATGTACAAACCGGGATATTGCACCAAAATATTAATCGGATCAATGGACTTTTCTACTAAAATTATTTCAGCACAAGAAGGCACACGAATATCATCTGATACCTTCAAAACACGTAACTGTTGTTCGACATATGATGCCTGTGATTGCGAGATATGGCCAACAAATTTTCCATCAACCAAAACGGGATACATCTGAAAAAAGAAAGAAAAATCCCAAAAAATAAATTATGAGGATTATAATATGGAATTTGAAGAAATTCTAATGCGAATACAATAACTAAGTGTACTGAGGTATAAATATTTGATCCAAAAGGGATATGAGAAAAACGTCATAAAATTCCGTGAATACTTATTCTAAGACTGCACCCCTGTTTTTGCTCCCTACAGCTAATCGAATTTTAAGATGTTGAAGTAGGTTTGATACGACACACGAGAAATATAAACGTACAGGTTCTGCAGGCAGTAATGTGATAGCGGAATGACCAACCATCCCTAACTCTCCGAGCAATTTTGGCAGTTCACTAGTATTCGAATAATGCGTAACAATGCGTACACTTGCCGCAACGTGATTTAATAGACCACATGGAGCACCGTCAGGGGTATGTACTGGGCATATGAAACCCCAAGCTTCGGGACGTAATTTACGTACATCTGTGGTACGCATTTCCATGAAAAATGCACCTCGATGAATTGCTCTAAAATAGCAGAGTTAATGGGACTTGAAAAAAAAATTTGCGATGGGACTTTTAACAACGCTGATATTTGAAGGAGGAAAGAAAATTTTTAGAACTCCTTCTAACCAAATGTAAGCAGTCTTAAAAAAAATACATATAAGAACTTAATAACCAGTATCTTAAAAGCTTCTTCGTGAAAGTTTACGGTATAGCCGGCATCCCACCATCAGCAGGAGTAAAAAATTTGACAACATATGGGTGTTGTAAGCCGAACTTTGGATCAACAAACTGACTGAAAAGAAAACCATACCGAAAATGGGAAACAAATCGAAGTTGATTAATTCTTTCGGCAATCACCGAAAATCCATTGTTTTGTTGTAATGTTAAGCCTCCCCTGGAAATTAGATTTCCGGTAGCAAGGAAATACTCCAGACCTCGTGTTATTTCCCCTGACCGCTGCGTACCCATCGCACGAATCAATTCATGACTAAAATAGATAAGCCAGATACTTTACAAACATTATATCTTAACTTATTAAACAAGGGTTTCAAAATTTAATTTTCAAAATGAGCATAAACCTCGATAAAAGGAAACTTTCTGCTTTGCGTTTAGCCTCAAGTTCAATTTTTCTTCGTGCAATATTCAAAGTATTTTCCAAACGTTCTCGTATAATCAAAAGAAGTATATGACCGGATACAGCAGCTTCTTGAAATTGTGGATTATCCGGCGATTCGGCAGCACATTCACCTTTCGTCAATGCTATCAATTTTTGAGCCATATACGAAAGGAGGAAGAATTTATCTTCATCGTTGTCCAAATGTATTGCAACACAAACGCGAAGCAAGAAACGACCAACATCCTGAAATACACTTCAGAACTTGAACTTTTCTGAATTTGAGCACCATAATCTATCAATCTTAAATTTTTAAACTGCATTAAGAACTACAAAGGAATATTGTTGAAGGATGTGTATTACACTTACTTCAGAAACTTCCCACGGACCAACACGATCCTGAGTGGCTACTCGGAACCTTTCACCAATAGCAGTGAGTGCTGCTTTTTGATTCACTATACCATCATCGCTGCATAGTGCTAACATCGTAGTTACGCATCCTAAAAACTATCCATATTTATGAATGTAGCAGCAAAATCAACAAAAATAGAAATTTGCACATTTTCAGTCTAAAAGTAATGATAAAGACAGCCAATTTAAAGAATATATTTAACCTTTCCAAAAATGATCACCGGGTCGACACCTAATCATATGCTCCATAATGCATTGATCATTCATCGATGTTAATGATTTGATGACGTACATGAACGGCAAATAAAATAATTCACGTCGGTACTGAAATAATGATATTTTTGATTTTTCAAAGCGAAATTAGTCTAAAATCAAATTAAATGGATAAAGCAGAACAAATTCAAGTAGCTTAATGAACATCTTTAGCAACCATTCACTAGTTATAAAGCGCGGGCAATTCAGCGGGTAAATTTATTTAAACGAACACAGTGCGATATGGTTATGTTTTAATTATACAGTTTCACTTTCTTTGCTATTTCAGCAACCTATTCGTTACTGCACATTATCTGTCACTAAAAACACTAAAAATTTGCCGTACATTATTAAAATGCGAAGTGATACGTGGATAACACCTCTCCCATATGAAAAGTTGATAAAGAAATTTCATTAACTTCAGCATCTAAAAAATGATTACCTGCAAAGCAATAACAATGGTACCACTCTCGAGATAATGAAGCGTCATCATAGCAGCTGAATAATTTCCTCGGACGCATCGAATCATCACCCCATATTGTGTAAATAAAGATCCTTTTTCACGAAAGGAATGCCTTACTAATCCTATGGGATAATTGCGACGATTTGCAACCAAAAGACGTATGACCTATTTATTTGAATATCCAATTAAAACGAAGAAAAATGACTTGTAGATCCCAAATTAACAAAAACATCTATCCCATGCTTTGGTACAAACCAAATTTTTACCTGATACGACCGTAGCAAAACCTAACTTGAACAATATTTAATGGAAATTCGCAGAAACCAAACAAGGTTTAAAAGAAACTTATCTAAAAGAAAAGTGTTATACCTTTTCATTCCCTTTACAAATGAAATAGCCGCCTTTTTCAGTTCCTTCTTCACCATGTGCTATTAGCTGCTCTCTTGTTAACCAACGCAAATGGCATCTGTTTGATTTCAACATAATGGGAACCTGAAATATATTTGACTGATAGAAAACAGATGTTTATCTGAAATATTTTGGTTATTGCTAATAAAATAAATTAAATACACATATGAATTATTCAATCCAATAACTTTAAGCCGACTACTATCTGCTAAAGCATAATGGAACTGGACAAATGTTAAGCCCATCTCCCGCGTTCATATGTTCTGATTTAAAACCAAAGACAAAGGAAAGATTTAATTGCCATTTACAACGATAGGAGAACACTGGAATATATGCGTCGCACTAGCCTCATCAATAACTTCTAAAAAACAAAGATCGAAACTGGTAAATAGGACACCATAAAAACGCGAATTAAATTATGTCCCAGTAAGTTAGTATTACATGGCAAAGTTACAAAAAAAAAAAAAAATGCTATCACTAACCTCACCAACAATAACTTCACAAAAATCCATCTTAGCACCATTCAGGCATATTTCTATATTTACTTTCAATGGCCCTCTATATGTTAAGCCACGTTGTCTGCACTCTGAAGGAAATAGTTTTAACGAATCAACAGCAGAACCCTGTAAGAAAAAGATTTCATTACCGGAAATGCTTCCTTTCTTTATTCTTATCTTCTAACTGATCGTGTTACATGATCGAGACAAACCTAGTCGTGTTGATTTTATAGTTCAAATCATCCTATTTAATCCATCTGCTGATTAAAAGCAAAATGTCACTAAGAAGTTCATGAATTTGTAATTCAGGCTATAATTGGATGGATTTCAGTTTTATGATCGAATAACAAATAAATTCAACGACAATTCAAAAATAATTATTAAGCAACATACAATCCGTCTTAGCATCATCCTGATGTGTACATTTATACTTATAACGACTAGGAAATTAACGTAAAATCCTGATGTACCTGTTTCATCTCAATCATTGGATAACCAAGCTGGGCACCGGTATAGCGTAATTCCACAGCTTCTCCAGTTGGAAGTCGGAATTTTTCTGCTGGTACATCTAAAGCAGCCAAATGCACTCCTTGTTCCGCCAAATAATCGAATGATTCCACATGATATGAAGCAATGTCACAGTCCATTATTGATTATAACGATGATAACTGCATTCGTATTTCGGATCGAAAAGTACGACAAACACCTCTTAAAGTGGAAAATCAAAATGTCTTACAATTAGTGTCAGCTAATCAAATATTTAAACCATAGAACGAAATCCAGGAAATGTCCGAAATGTTAAAATAGTAACTAATTATAGTCTTGAAATGAGAATACTGCAACTAAAGATAGAATCAAAAAAAACAATTTTGTAGACGAGGCGTCTCGCTTTTCAGTTCATTTTACAACAGTAAACTTCAAGAAGTTCTCGTAATACTAATATATATCTAAATTTGAATGAATTGTCGGGAAAAATTTTACCAGCGATATGATGGACACAAAACATAGGATACCGGCCTTGCAACATATGCAGCACCTTCCAATACTTAACTATGTTGTAATTGCGAACAGATCTGGGTAAAATCTAATGTTAAGCTCAGTTGATATGCAACGCGGAAACTATTCAAAAGAAAAAAACTTCCGACAACGGATTAGTTCCCAGCATCTATGCAAACTCAATATCATGTTCACTCCGCAAATTTCTAGAACTTATTGAAAATAAAAATTGAAAATTCAGTTAACATATTCTTCACCGCTTTAAATTTTAATTTGGCATACACTTAAACATTTTGCTAACAGCTAAATCCTGATGCACCAACAGGAACTGAATTATTTTATCAATACTTGAAAAGTAGCAGAATATTTTACATTAAAAAAGTATTCTTGTTGGTATACAGCTATGAGTAAACTTATCGTACCATTCTCAGATATACTTTTAATAAAGCATCAATATGAGAAAAATTCCAAATTTGAAGAAATTTAGTTGTATATGAGATAGCCAACCTTTAATATCTAAACATAATTCATTTTTTAAAAATAATTAGTAAGAATGCTAATAGTAAGAATCTGCTGAAGTCTTCTGGAGATCTCAAAAAAACAAAACAAAATGAAATATTTAAATTGAATTATATCAATAAACATGTACAACGAAATTATTCAATAAAAATTAAGTGTAAAAAAAAACAGAGAACATTTAAGAAAAAGAATTCATCCAGCTTCTACTAAATTCGTTAGCTTCTTCTCTTCGCATTTCTTGTCAGGCACTATAAAACCCAAAGCTTCATGGCGTGTACAGGAAATTGAATCTGAAAGCGTAAAACGAATAGATTTTAATGAAATAGGAATAATCGATCTATTTATTGAACCAATATTAGCGATGAATTAAATTTAACTTTCGATCAAGATATTGTTTTCCATAAAGAATATATAGATTTGCTTGCCACAAATGCTAAGTAAAACTATCTGTCAGAACAAATGGATTAAATTATGCAAGCGTTGCGAAGATTCGAAATGTCAAATCCAAACCGTACTTCGAAGCAGTGGTAAAGACGAAACGAAATTGCCGACAAAGTATATAACTACACAATCTAATAATGTAAATGTTCTCACCTGCTAAGAACCTGTGGAAGGCTTGCAATCAAGTTACCATAACCAGTTGAGTTGTCATACAGTTCAAAAAGCGGTGCAGCTACAAGTTTGTAATTTTTCGGCACAGCAAAAAGTGCTCGTTCCGGAAGTTGAACAAGAAACAGCTTCGTTTGCTCTTTTGGTTTTGTAACATGTGCAGGAATGTATGGATACTAGAAATCACTCATCTATTTTTTTTTTACTTTTTTGGACAGATTTCCTTGTTTCATTAGAATAGAAAAACTTGATTAAAAATAACATATAAGATCTATGGAAAAAGAGTATACAGTTCATACCCTAGGTGGGTCGAAATTCGGACGCCACCAATTACCAATGACGTCTTCAATAGTCCATAAATCCTTCGCGCCATCTTGCCGTCCAAGTGTCTGCAAATAAGGAAAAAATTTTAAAGAAAAAACTCAAACTGGAAATATAAGCAGATAAAGGTTAGAAAAAATGTTAGATGACAAGTTGCCAGCACTAAATGGCTGTGTTATCGAGTGTTATCGAACTTAAGAAAAACCAAAGAAAATATAAAACTGATACACTCACTTCAGTAAGTAGTCGCTTCAACCCTTCAACTTCATCTTCTCCAGGATTTAATTCACCACCTGGCCTGAAAAATGATATAAATTTTGTGCTTTGTTAACTATACATGAGATTATCCACCAAATTAATACAGTGATCTCTTAGAAATCTAAGTATATTAACGAGACTTGGATTTGCTAATACTTGAATTCTTGTTATATTGATGATTACTCGTCTGAAAATAAGGAAATTTAACTTAATTTTATGGAAAATATTTTTATGCTTACAATTTGAAAAACGTAGTGCCAATCTGCAACAATAGCACATGAGGTAAGGAATGTTCATGAACGAGCAAAACACCTTCTACCGATCGACGCATCCCAATTTTTTCATATTCTTCACGCATACGTTGAAATCGTGCCTGTACTGAATGGTCACGTTCGGCTTGCGGATCTTTTGTCCCAAACGTGTAATTCGTCAATGGATACCTTAAATACCTATTTCAACAATTTCATATAAGCCATCCAGCAAAATGACTGTTTAAAAAAAAAAACCTAGAAACTGACAATGATAGATTATTGGAAATGAACATTCCCGCTTTCTTCCATTTACTTTATCAGCGCTCTTATTTACCATTACCAGTGTTTCTCCGAAAACAAAACGGAATCTTATATTATTCCCATCCGCTTCTCCCTCCTCAAAAAAAAAGAGAGAAAAGAAAATCTACACGGGCTTATCTACATTTTCGGGGCATACGGTATTTCCCTTGTCCACCTGTTCACTGAGATTACCGTACTCTGCCCGCCATGTTCGGACAATCGGGCATCCAATTTTTCTTTGCAAAACCCTGTGTATCCTCCACAATTTCTTTCTTGTATTCTACAGAATAGCTTTTTCTTTTACTACTCATTTTGTCTTTTACCACGCAGGGAGATAAAGAGCAACAGAGAGATAAGTCTGGAAGCTCGACGTGGTCAGTCGGAGCTCCCCGCGACCGTGCTGAGCCCTTTTCATAACTTGATCAATGTCAAGATGGAGACAACTATGTATTTCGAACACATACTTTTTTGATCCAATCAGAATATTTAAAAATTTGATCTCGAAAAATCTTACAGATTGATTGCTCGATCAATGCTACTACGTGTATCATTTGGCTTTTTCAGTGTAACCGGAGTGGTGACTATTTTCTGCGGTCGAGTAGCAACAGGCCATCCCGTCCGTGACATTCCCGTCATTTCACTAAAATCATGCATTTTATTTTAATGCCACTAATGTTCTATCCGCAAACCCACTTTGACCATGAGTTTTGGGCTTTGTAAAATGAAGCCTGAAAGTGAAAAGAGAAGAGAACTATAAGTGAAAACATAAGTGTAAAAGACTTTATTGATTTGAAATTTTTTGATTTGTCAACAAATACCTGACCTGCTACTTCAAATTTTTTTCAATTAAGCAAGGGCTTATTATGCTGAATTTGTCCCAAACTTTCCTTAAACTTTAAAAATATTCACTTTCAGAATTAATGAGAAAAGTTTACAAATATCACAACCACCAAATCTCCATCCATATCCTTGCACCCAGACGAATGCCTTAACGTCTGAATAGGAAGTGTATCTGTTGCATGCAACGTTTTGTGAAATGCGCTGCTCTCAAGGAATTTATGCTTTGTTTTCCTGTTAGTTCGTTCACCGTCGAAATGTTTTGTTTTCGGTCAAATGTGTAATTACAATTGTTAAAGTGGAAATTTTCCGCAAAAATTTTCTAAAACCTTAGTGAAATTAGGAAAAATTTTTATGGACAATTAGTTATGAGGAATATATGTGGTATTTTTTTTTTTGCCATATATTTAAAATTTATTCGAATTTGCTCTATGACATTTCAAGTCATTGTTACGCATGACTAATTACATGGCAATATTTTGCTGGGTTTGTTCCGAATTTTTTTTTTCTTAGAGTAAAAGAAATTGAAATTTCAGATGAATAATATTAACGACTTGCGAAATGTTGACGATGAAAATGATAGCATTCACGAAGATGACACAGAATCAGAAAGTACACAGAGTAATGAAGATAATCAGAGAGAACGAAGACCTTTCGATATTACATTACCACCAACACATCAATATTTACGATTAAGTGGTATCCTTTTTGAACTTAATTTTATCATACAGCTGAGTGATAAAATTTCTCTAATTATGATAATCTCGTCATACGGCTGGATCATATGGTCAAATGTTAATTGAGAAAGAACCAACGTGACAAATCTTGTGTCTCGGGAGTTTTTAATGGTTTTGTAATCTAAATATCACATTGATCAACTAATTTTGATAAGCTGAAAGGTAATAGCTCAATCATCGAATGGCTGATAAAATGATTGTTGATACTTAAGCATCATTAGCTTGTTTTAGGGAATTGTGTTATCATGAAGTTAGAGGGTTGGGCAGTTTTGATGAATGCATCATTGAAAGTAGTTATAGTATATGGTTAATTAAAGTGAGAGACTAAATTGATATTTTGCATGTTTCTGATCATGCATGTCTTGTGACTTAAATGTTTGACATATTTATGTTGATAGCATTAACATTAACTTGTGATCCAAATATTGATTCGTTTATACTGATACCATTGATTGAATTAATTTAGCTTCGTCTTCTTTTCTTCACGGCCAGTTAGCGAATTTTTTTATTTTGACCAAACAGCCGATGATTTAGGAACAGGAATCTGTTTACAAGTTTCGGTTGAAAATTCTAATTATTGCCGATTGTAATGCTGCTAACATTTTCATCACTTCTTTATTAGTGAGGTAAATTTATGAATTTGTTGGTATTGTAGGAAATGATGATTTGCCGCATAGTTGCAAAATGGAAGATGCTGGGAAAGTGATAACAGTATCGATCTTGGAAATGCCGATTGTTTTGCTACCTACCCAGTTGCTTCCATTCCATACCGATTATCCATTACTTGTCTCGCAGCTTCGACACGCAGCTCAAGAAAATGAATACATAGCATTAAAACCGAAATTAGATACCTTTGATACGGATATTGCAACATTAATTCAGGTCTATACACAGCTATTGAAAATGGAAACTGCACAAAGACTCTATATGGTTGATCTCTGATATGTTTTAGACGAACATTAACTATAAATGGTTGCAGGATATGGATGGAACTCATCAATTCAGTTATAATTATTTCATTGATTCTGGTTATTTTGAAATGATTTCAGAGCAGGAATGAAAATTGGCTCCAATCTAAAAATATTTTAATCAAATAATTGGATTGAAATTTGATAGCAGTTAAAATCTAAAAGCAGTTGCCAGTTCAGGTTCGAAGCTTGCAAGAAAATGACGGTGGAATATCTGTGCAAGCAGTAGGCCGTCAGCGTTGCCGAATACTTAACCGACGATCCGCCATTAATGGGTATTTTTGTGATTACAATTGTGCTACAAATTAAACTTCAGGATTTAACATTAGGAAACTTAAACAGATTAGAAAATATTTGACACTTCAGGATGCCATATGGTGAGGTGCGGGTTCTGGAAGAAAAAGAGTTGCAACCTCTCTCCCAAGTATTAATGCCCACCTCATTTGCTCGTATGCGACCTGCAAAAGTAAGATGAGTTCTCTTTCTTTAAGCAAAAATAAAAAACTTACTCTTGCTAGCTAGAGCAGCGCAGTTTTGAATTGACAAGTGTTCAAATTGGGAATCTCTTGCGCCTTACTGTCATTCGTTACTTCTTAACCTGAACCGTTATTGTGAAGTAGTGAACTGAGAAAGATGAAGTGAAGATCAGAATTTTAGTGAAGAGATAAGACAGGAAAAATAATTGTAAATTTTTATCACTGCCTTTAACATTCTCTGAAAACGGAATAAAGTGGAGATCTTCTAGCTAACGCGAAATAATAATGTTTCACTTGTTAAAAGTAAAGGTTTCTTTAGAGTTTACGGTTTTTTGCGGCAATGACATCACATTCATATCACGCCTTGAAGATATCACTGACGGTAATGTTTCCTCTTACTCTACACTTACTCATATTTCCGACTTGAGTAATTTATGCAATTTTTTGATAACATGGTCTTGAATTCATTTATTTCTCTAACATTTTCAGTTATTTGCTAATTGTGGGAAAAAAGTAATGAAAAAGTTTGGTTTGTAGAAGCACTATATTGATGAAATTGCCAAGTGGCTTTATGGTTGGCATGTGTATGAAAAAGTTAAACGTGTTCTTTCTCAGGTACTGATTTTCCTTCAAATTTGATGCTGTGTGTGAAACTTTGGTGCTAAGATTCATTGAATCAAAAATTGCAGTTAGGTAGATGACGCGAACTCCCAGTATGGATATAAGCGTTTACGTGAAAACAGTTTTTATGAGGTATTTATAGACAAATATCTTGAAACAAATAAGATTTTCAGTATTCTTAATTTAGGGACCGACGACATTGAGCTATTGGGTAGCTGCAAATTTACCAATTGATATGGAAATGCGCTTACGCTTACTGGATGAGCCTTGTACGGATAGAAGATTGAAGGATGAATATGGCATCATTAATCGTGTAAATTATTTCTTATTTCTAAGTCCTTTCAGTGAACTATTTTCAGGTAGTACTTAATTTTCTGCACATATTATAATGTGTCACTCTAATTGATGGGAGTAGGTTTGTGAAAAACTCCATATCTCCCATTGATTATAATATATTCCCTCTGATTGACGAAGAGGTTTGCGAAAAACATATCTTCCGCGGTACATTTTTACTAATAACGGTATGAGCAAACAATGAGCAATTCGTGAATGTTTGAAAAATATTGACTTTTAGGATAAAAACGACTGAATTCCTTCATGGGGGGATAATGATACTGTTTTTTGTTTTCGGAACTCTTCGATATCCTTTCATTGCTTTCCGAATCAGTCTGTTCATCTAAAAACGAATCAAACTTTTGGGGTTACATTGAGGAGGAGGGATAAAAAGAAGCCCGAGGAAGAAGGTTAAAGAGAAGTTGTTTGTCAATTTCTTCATGAGCTATAAGCAGTATAAAGATAATCACCTTTAAAATGAAGAGAATTTTTCCTTTTTTAATATTTAAGGGATGAATGTATTCTAGTTTATGTAGTAAATTCAGTAGTACTTAATACAAATCTTCCTGATTTGTTTATTAAGGAGTGGATTTACCAAATGATAAGTTAAACTGCTGAATTAAATAAGAACGAATATTTAACATTTAGTAATTTGGTCTATTTTTTCTTTTTCTGAGAAATAATTCACTGCAACGTTCGCGTTCTATTACGTTCTATCTAGGATAAGATCGCTACAAATGATCGAGCTGTCTGACGATAAGCGCTTCTCTTACAGATCGATGTCATTGTTTGCAAGAGTTGTGGCACGCTGTTATGTAATATGTCACAAATGATTAGCGTGTCAATGGAGGGAAACAGTGCGCATTTCATTAATCCAGGTGAATGCTTGAATCACTACAGTAATCCGATTGATTGTCAGGGATATTGCAAACTATACCACACATTAGTTTCATCATCTACTCACCAGCTTCTTTTATTTTATCAATATATATATATATACTACGACGCAGAATATATTGCGAAATTCGTTTTGTGGTTTTTGCAAATTTAACTATTTTTTTTTAGACCTTTTTCATTGTGTTTCTTAATATTTAAGTATTTATCATGTTCTTTTCAAAAGGCATATTTTTAGGTGGTTATGTACATGATTTATTCACCGTATCGGAAGTGGTTTCAACGCTAGCACGTGGGGCACCGTCAGGCGAATGTTCCTGGTTTCCGGGGTTAGTTATTGAAGCATTTCTTAATGGTAAAAGGAATAATTTTAAATGATAAATATCACATTATTGTATGAAAAATTTGTCAGTAGTGCTTCAGTTATAACAGTAAAACTATCAGTTATCAATGGTCGCTGATATAATATGTTTTTAATTTTTACCTCAGAAATCATGAATTTATCAGACTTTTATCTATCAGCACTGTATAATTGTGTAATCTGATGAAGAACAATATAGTTTGAGATATCTCATATTTTAAATCGTTATACCAATTGTTCGATAATGCCGGAAAAACTGCGAAGAATGCTGTAGAAACAAAAGACGAAGTTCATAAACGACTAAACTGAAGTGAAATTTTAGTTACAAATGGACAATTCACGAATGCTCACACTGTGGTCAGCATGTTGGTTGGCGTTTCACCAGTTCATATTTGTCACCAAGTTCGTTCTTTGGTTTGACGAGACGTTCAATTCGACCTGCTGATTCACGACGCCCAATCACTTCCACTATTCAACGTATTGAACAATTAGCTATTATCTGAATGTTATTTTCCAACTTTAGGGAAGATTCTCTTAAGGTTCAGGACAAATTTGATAATTCGGAGTAATAATGATTTTCTAGCTTAATAGGTAAAGTAGGAAAGCAATTAGTACTAAAAAACGAAAGAAATAAGTTTGGTTTTACATTTGTCCCTATTGAAAAAAAGGAAAAAACAAACAGATGGTTTTCTAAGTCAGTGAACAACTTTTGTCCGACCTACACTTGCACAGAATATCCGGATTGTCGTGGAAGAAATATTACCAATAGATAAACTGAAATTTGAATTGGTAATTTCTCGAATTCTTTCTTTTCAAACTAAAGTTTCTTTCACAGGCGTTCAAGTGGCTGAGCAGCAATACAATATTTGATACATGATGCGTTGTTGTATATAAACAATGGGGAAAACATAGAGAAATCGCAAGCGACTTCTTTAAAATTCTTTTCGCATATTTCCTTTTCCGCGTCTTTTGCGCATGAATCTTCCATACTTACTGTTTCCAAGAATTTTTAACTGAATTTGTAGGAAAACTTACGCTACTTACCTTTAGTTCCCGGCAGAATAGGTTTGATCATCGGTTTTTGTTTTTCTCACAGTGTTCTTCAAGTACTGGCATTTGTCTTACCACTCAATGTCATCATATTGGTTTCATTCAAGTTCTTGATGTGACGATAATTTCACACGCACATATCTTTACTCAGTTTTGACCTTTATTACAGAAGGAAGTAGAGGAAGCGTTGTGGAGAAAAAAGTTACCGGAGTTTTTTTTTACCTTAAGACAGATCCCTCTACTACATGTCTTTATTATTCTGTTAACTTAAAATATTGCTTTTGCTTCCTCCCGTTCATAAAATTATTCAGCTTCCTGTTACGTCTAATATTCATGTTCTACGTTCTACTTGTGCGCAGTGTTAACCTTCCGAACTTCCAACGACAAGGATTTGAGGGAAGGGTTAGACAGGAGGGAATTTGTGAGGAGTTATGGAGAGACTGGCAGAACATTTTGTATATTGGAATACGCAAGTTTTTATTTGGAAGTAATTTAAGGAGGA